GTATGATTCATTTGTTTTAATTTGTTTTCAATTTTATGTTTGCTTTCCTTTTTGATTTAAATTTTTTGGACTATTTACATGGTTGAAAGTTGAACACCATAGTCCAGTGTGTGCTCAGGGCTCCTGCTTCCCTTATCCCCGCGGGCTCCACCCCCTGCCCAGCCCCCTAACGGTAACCAGACTTTTCGTTTCTGGCTGATCCTTCCAGTGTTTTTATTGATTTGTTTTTTCAAAAATAAGCAAACATTTACATTTTATTTTCCCTGTTTTCTAATTCAGTGATAACGTACCAAATACACTCTTCTGCTCCCTGCTTTTTTCAGTTAACGTCATAGCCCAAGTTTGGCTGCACAGACATCACCTGTGCCCGTTTCTACGGTAGCTGCGTCATGCTCTGTGGGGTGGTTGTGCTGCTGTTTACTCAGCACAACCACCCTAATAGACATTTGCATCATTTCCAGTATTTCACTGTCTTAGCAGTTAGTTCTTTCTGGTTCTGGAAAGGGGATTATGGAATCATAGGCTTCATTGGTATTGACAGACACTGCCCTACACCTTGTGCCGGGTGCCGCCGCCTGGGGCTCCACTGGCAATCCCCGGGGCTGCTGGTTTCCTCTTGCTCGCTGTCACGATGGGGCATTAACGGCTGGTAGCTTTACAGTCCCATAGATGTGAAGTCCATCTTATTGCAGTTTTTTTGTTTTGTTTTGTTTGAAATGAAGTCTTACTCTGTTGCCCAAGCTGGAGTGCAGTGGCGCAATCTTGGTACACTGCAACCTCCACCTCCTGGGTTCAAGTGACTCTCCTGCCGCAGCCTCCTGAGTAGCTGGGATTACAGCATGAGCCACCATGCCCAGCTAATTTTTGTATTTTTAGTAGAGACAAGGTTTCACTATGTTGGCCAGGCTGGTCTTGAACTTCTGACCTCGTGATCCGCCCACCTTGGCCTCCCAAAGTGCTGGGATTGCAGGTGTGAGCCACCACGCCTGGCCCTTAGTGCAGTTTTAATTTGCGTTTCTTTTATGATGAGTCAAGTTGAGTATCTTTTGTATTTGTCTTTATCTCCAAACTTCTATTCATATCTTTTCCCATTATTCTATCATGTTTTTAGTCTATTTCGTCTTCTGTTCTGGGGAGCTCTTATTAGGGAGAAGAACCTTCGTGATACAGTAATAATTGCAAATGTGTTTTCCTACTTTTCATTTGTCTTTTTACTTTGCTTATGGTGGGCTTTGCTATATAAAAGGGTTTTTTTAAATGTAGTCGAATGTATCAGTCTTTTCTTGCTTCTGAATTATTGAGTCATAGACAGGCTTTCTCCTCTCCCGCTTTACAGAGCGATTTAGGCTCATGTTCTTGGACTTGCAGGTTTTGTTTATGTTTAGACATAAACACAAAAATAAAAAAAGTGGTAACTTTTTTTTCAGAAATTTTATTTTTTTATTTTTTTGTCTCCCATGTCTATCCTGCAGACCCCATGCCTGTTGATAAAACCTGTCTGTTTTCTGGTGACTGGAGAGCCACCATCATCATGGACCAACATTCTTCATGCATTTGGGGTTATTTCTGTATTTTCTAATTTGTTCCATTAGACTTGGCCCAAACTGTTTTTTGTTAAAGGCCAGCTAGTAAATATTTTAGGCTTCCTGGGCCGCTTGTGTTGTCTGTCACATTTTCTTCTTTTTGTTTACAACTCATTAAAAACATAAAAACGATTTCTTATATCTGTGCTGAGCTTGGCCTCGGTCTGCGGTTTGCGTCCTCTGCACTAGGCTGTGTCTGTGGTCACTGGGACTGTGCCTTCAGTCAGAGCCTCTTTCATTGCCTGAATTTCTAGCAAGCTGAGCTCTCACCACATTGATCTTCCTTGCAGGGTTTTCCTGGGTATTCTTGCTTATTTAGTTTTCCATAAGGACTTTTTAGGGATCCTTGTGGGCATTCCATCACATGGGGAGAATTTACACCCAAGAGCTAGGAGATGATGGTCCCAGAGAAGACTGCCTTTCCATCTGTTCATTTCCACTGTGCGTCTTTCTGAAGAGTTTTAAAGTTTATGTCATATGGGTTTTGCTATTGTTTTGTTTTCTATTTGATTAAATTTTGTGTTTATCTTTACTATCCTCTCATTTCTCCTTGATTTTTGGTATACTTTGCTATTTCCCTATTTTTTTTTTTTTGAGCTGCTTAGTTCATTTATCTTAATTCTTTGTTTGTATGGATATACAGGATTCAAGGCTATGAATTTTCCTGTGATTACTGCCTTATGATTGTTGATACTAATAAGTAGTGTTTTCATTATTATTACTGTTTCCAGAAAATCTTTTTCAATTGTGTTTGCCCTTTGACAGAAAGTTATTTATTTGCAAATTTGTTTCTTAAAAAATTTTACCTTTTTTTGTTGTTTTTTTTTCTTTTTTGAGACTGGGTCTTGCTCCGTAGCCCAGGCTGGAGTGCAGTGGTGCGATCTCAGCTCACTGCAACCTCCATCTCCTGTATTCAAGCGATGGGCCTCAGCCTCATGAGTAGCTGGGACTACAGGCATACACCACTATGCCTAGGTGACTTTTGTGTGTTTTGTAGAGGTGGGGTTTCGCCATGTTGCCCAGGCTAGTGTATTAATTTCTAGTTTATTGCATTATGTTCAGAGAATATTATTTGTATTATTTCTACTTTATGGAGCGTAGTTTTTTGTGGCCTAATATATGGTTAGTTTATATTAATGTTCCAAATACACTTGAAAAGTTGTTTTCTCTGTCACTGGGGTGCTGTGTTAAGATGAATCCCTGCACCCCGCATCCCTGCCACCGTGGGAGTTGGCTACTCTGGTCTTCTAGATGGTTACTCATTCGTCATTGCCTGGATCTGCCTTTGAATGGAGAGTGGTTAGTTTCTACCATTACTATGTTTTCTGTTTCCTCAACCCCAGAAGCAGTGAGGATTCTATCCAGGCTGGGGCGCGGTGTTTGTGATGGGGGTGCAGGAGGTGGGCTTGGGGAGGACAGGGCCACTGCCCCGGCAGTCTTCTTAGTTCAGTTGGAGGCCGGCTTCCTTTACTTGTGAGTGGGATGGAAATGACATAGGGTGGACTGTGGGGAGCTTAGACCTCAGGGTTGGCCACGGAGGAGCCTCTTGTCCCAGCTAGACAGGGAGGGGAAAGGTCTGAGGCTCCGGTGGGGAGAGTTGGGAGGCTGGTCAGAGGAGCCCAGACCAGGATGGCCCCTTGCCTAGCATGCGCCGCCCCCTGCTGCCCACTCCAAGAGCTCTCAGCATGCTGTCAGCTCTGGGATCATTGTCTCTGTCCTTGAGACCCTGAGCTCCTTAAGGGTGGGGCCCTGCTTGTCCAGTTCTCCCAGCACTACCCTGTGCAGGGCCTCCCGCATGGAGGGGGCGCAGTCATTTATTTGCTGAGTGAATGAATTAATGGTGGCATTGAAAGGACCTGGCAGTACTGGGGTATAGTGGTGATGGAGCGGGGGCCGGCCCAGCAGGACGTTGGAAGGAGCTCCCCGGGAGACAAAACAGAGGGTCCCGTTGGGTCAAGTGCCTAGAGCTCTAGGAGGATCTGTGGCATGGGAGAGGCTGAGGTAGGGTTGCAGCGTACCCAGGGTATCACTGGGGAGTTGGCCTGCAAAGGCGTGGCCAGTATGGAGGGAGGGCTTGGGCAACTCCTTCCTCTGCAGCCCAGGTCAGGGCAGGTCATGCCCTGAGCCAGGCTTTGGTGCTCATGGGTCTTTGTTCCAGGGCCTGCTGCCCCTGCAAGAAGTGCCACTAGGCTCCCATCTGTGCATGGGTCTGCCCTGATCTCTCACTAGATGCCACAGTCCAGGATAGGTGGGGCCAGGGCAGGGGTGGGGTCCGTGTGGCTGATCATCTCTGAGGTGCCACACTGGGGACATGCCTGCCCTTGGGTGATGTTAATCACCATCTCCTCCTTGGTCTTCGTCCAGATTCCTTACTTGCCTTTCTGCCCCAAGATGCCCCCGTGAGCTCCTGCTGTGGCCAGTGCCGGGCCTGAGCAGTGGGTCTTTGCTCCACCTCCTTGGGGCCCACCCTGGGCCCTACACTTTTCACTCCCCCTCAGTCCCCTGTCCTGACACATTGTGCTCACTCCTTGTCCTTTGGTCTTGAGAAATGCAGATGGGATGTGGTCTGTGGTCATCCTGTGGGGCTTGAGGTGGCTGGAGCCTGGGTGGAGAGGACCTGTGGCCAAGTTTCAGCCTGGCTTGGGGCCTGGCACTGGAGGTACTGAGTAAACATTCATTCCTTCCTCTGCTCATTGGGGGCTTTGGGAATGTTGTCGCCATTATTGATAGAAAGAGAGATAATGTTGTTTTGAAATTCTTCCCAGCATTGCTGTTCCTCGAACTTTAACTAAAGATGGTTCCAATGGCATTTTTGTCAATTTAGAATTAATGATAATGCCACTTCAAGAAGATGAAGGCAGGGGCCGCAGTCCAGTTCCCATCTCTTAGCCTGATGACCAGGACATACCCCACAGGAGGAGCCCGGGATACCCATGGGGCAGGTGCAGTCCTGCTTTAGGGCCAGGAGAGGGGCTGCTGGCTGTCTCACACATTATTTCTAAGCCTGGTGTCGGTTTGAGCTCTGCCTGTGTGTGTGAACATGCCAGTTTTGACAGCAGATGTAGACTACATTTTTTCTTAAATTCTGCCTGCCCAGAATAATAAACTCCCCAGCCAGCCTCATAAGGACATTTGTTCCCATCCATCATAGGCTATTACAAGGACTTGGTGAAACCATAAATCTTATTTTGGGAGGAGTTGATTGTTTCTATGGGAAAGAAATGTAGTTCTTCTGAACATGACTCTTCATTCTGTTAATTTGGATATTTTATGATGTTTTTGATTAATGTGTCTATTAACTGTAGCTATGACAGAAGCAGAAATTAGTAATCATGACCAGAGCCGAAATCTCTTCCAAGTGTAAAGATGATGAATGACTCCAATTACTTTTGCCCTCGTTTGGGGCCTCTTTGACAGGGTCTCGTGGCTTCCAACTGAGGTACATGGTGGGCCCTGGGTTCCTGAAGCCAGGTGAGCGACGCTGCTTCGCCCACTACCTCGCCGTGCAGACCCTGCAGATCGACGTTTGGGACGGAGACTCCCTGCTGCTCATCGGATCTGCCGCCGTCCAGATGAAGGTAGTGGCTCTCCTGAAGGACAGGCACAGTGGGAGCTGCGTCCCTCACGGGACAAGTCACACTTCCAGCGTCTGTCTGCTTGGAAGGAGTGGGCGCTGTCCTGTGCAGGACTTGGTTGGCCTTCTTTGTTCACTAATTAAAAAATAGTGCTGCATTCTCTGTTTCTTGAAAGGAAAAGATTTTTCACTGTCTGAATTCTATAATGCTAGTTGTTTGCTCTGGAAGCTCTTAAGATCAAACTCAGTTACCTATTTCTCCTGCAAACTGACCTACCAGGCAGTGTCACTTCATCTCCTTCCATGTGGTAAATGTGGTGAGGGCAGGTACATCCAAGGTGGGTTGAGGACGAATAAATGGATACGCGAATGACTGGGGCATGCAGGGTGACCTGATTCCTAAGGTCAGTGACATGTGTCATGCTTTTCTCATTCTAATGAAAATTAGGATCTCTTCTACTAATTGTAGTTTTCCATTCTCCTTGTATACTAAAACCTTAATCCATGGATTCTTTCACTCGTCCTCCCTGGGATTCTTCCCAAGGCTTCTCCGTTGTATGAAGGGGACCCCATAGCAACTCTTGGGCCAAGGCCTGGGGCCAGTTTCACACACTTCCATGGTGTCCTGAGACTTCTCCTCTCAGGCCATGGGGCGGAGCTGGGAGAGGATGTGGCATCATTTTTGCAGGCCCTGAGTCTCTGAGATTTCCCCACTTTTCTTGAGTGCCACAGAGCTGCTTTCCCCCTGGATTCCTGACACGGCTGAACCCCCGGGGTTTCCTGTCTTATAGCCTCATCCTCTCCAGCAGTTGCTGACCCCTGAGAAGCGCGACTCCTCTGCTGCTTCAGCCGCACTGTGCTCTCGGGGTGGGGGGTGTGGGCGTCTGGGAGTTTTTCCAGCTGCTCTTCTCTGGTCTGCTCTTGGCTCGCTGTGTCTGACGGACTGATCCAGGCTCCATCCCACTCCCTGTGACTTCTAGAGGAGATTGATGCCCCCCAGGGTGGTGGGCGGTGCACAGAACGTTCAGGGCGGGGTCTGCAGGTGGCAGGGACTCCGCAGGGCTTGGCTGCTCTTCTCATGCCTCACCCTGGGCCTCTATTCCTATCAGGGTCATGGCATGGGCCCCGCAGGGTCATCGTGGCCCTTGCTTGTCTGTCTCCCATGCTGGCTTTGATGTCCCCAAGGCAGGACTGGGTGTTGACACCGCAGCATCTCTAGCACAGGCCTCAACCCCAGCAGGCGCTGCATGGTGGAGAGGAGTGAAGGAGGCAGGCGGTGTGGGAGGTAGAGCCGGGCCCCGCTGGGCACGTGTGGGGCGGCAGTGGCTCCCCCGTCATGCCCAGCCAAACCTTGTACCCCCTCTTTGCTGTCCCATATGGAGACGGAAGCCATTTGATCTCCTCCTACATGAAGAGCCCCTTAAACAAGTGCCATCACACTTGTTGACATAGACTTGAATCAATTACATATAAAGCTTCACTTTTCTAAAATAGAATCTTGTAGCTTTAAAACTTAGGTAGAAAACATGAAAACTGAGATGATCAGAGAGAATCCTCTTGACTCCAGCTCCCGGGAGAGTTAGGATGCTCTGGTTAGCCTTTGGTGGACTTACTTTCCGCAGGCGGGGCCAGCTTTCATCTTGTTTGAGCTTTTCCTGTTGCGGGTCGCTGCGGTGGCTTTTCCTTCTGCTAATCACTGCTGTGGACTTCTTGAAGTTCAATTTTACCCCCGTCTTTAGCTGATTTCCTGGGGATACTGGCCGTAACACGTTGCTACGGCGATGAGAAGAGTTTCCACCAGGGACAGACAGCTCCTGTGCTGCCTTCAGTGTGACCCCCAGCCCAGCCCTGGGGCAGTTCTGTTTTTATCCTTGTTTCTGGTGGAGAAAACAGAGGCCCAGGATCACGCTGGTGATAATCAGGACGGAGTCTCAGCCTCATTCTGTCTCTGGAGCTTGTGCTCTTTACCATCCTCTTCTCCCCAGTGACACGTTCCCGGAAGTAGAATTCTGACGGCGCCAACATGAGGGCTGCAGGCGTGCAGAGCCAGATGTGGGTTTGGCCCAAAGGCTCAGCCCGGCCTGCACTTCCTGAAGACAGAGGGCACTGCGTCCCATGCCCTTGGCTTCACAGGGTGTCAGCCTTTAAACCAGTCGCCATTGGCCATTTCGATAATGATTTGGGAGGAAAATGGTGCCTTGATTCTGTTTGCATTTCCTTGCCTCCTGGAGAGGCCGACATGGTTTCTTGTATTTGTTGGCTGTTCTCCAAAGGAGACTTCTCATATCTTCTCAGTCTCCCAGTGACTGAGTTTCCGGAATCATCGATGTCTATGCAGTGATCGTATGCAGTGTAGACGAATGTGGCAAAGCGAGCAGGGTCTGTGGCGACCAGAAGCCCCCAGACCCACAAGGGAAGGGTCAGGTCTGGCGTCTCACTCCCAGAGACAGGCACTTTTGTTGCTGTAGAAATTGGAGAATTACAAATTCTGGAACCTCATCTGCTCCCACACTGCTGCTTATGTGAGAGGAAGTACCAGAGCAGAGAGGGCACATGGGGAAGAGTGTCCCAGCCACGCCTGGGGTGCAGCTGTGAGGCCGTTGTCATCCCCCACACGCCTCACAGCATTGGTGTTCAGGCAGAGTACTGAGCCGTCGAATCTGATCAGCAGAGGAGCCCATGGTCAGGAAAGTCCTGCTGAGGCACTGCTGGGTCTGAGGCTTCCTGCTCCCACCCTGCCCCGAGCAACCTTGGCCTGGCATGCAGATCTGGGCCAAACCCCAGCCCAGGGCTCCCGGTGGGCCCCTCATGCCCCACGGCCCCTCCCTGGGCCCCATAGGCCCCTACCCAGCCATGCTTCCTGGCCCAGGGAGATGGGGGAGGCATCATACCCTGTACCCTGTGCCCTTGGCCTGCCTGCCTCCCCGGCCTTCTCTGCCTTCCCTGCCCTCTCTGTGAATGGCCTGTCTTCCTCCTGGAGTCTGGTTCAGGTTTCCGTCCTGGATTCCTCGCTGTCCCAGACACGCTTGGCTCAGAGTCCTTTGTGTTGCTTGGCTGCCCTCTTTCCTGCTCTTGGTTCCTGTGGAGGGGAGGGTCCTCCAGGGCAGCTGCCAGACCCACTTATGCCTTCACAGGGCCCAGTGGTGTTTATTCAGTGGGTAAATCCAGTTATACTTTACTTAAGACTTTGTGAAAAAGACCCCAGTAATAAGGACTCTTGCTTTAAGACGCTGGCCCCTGGCTCGCCGCCCCCTCACCCCCCAGTGTGGTGCAGGGTCTTGTCCTGCTGTGCACACTCCCTCCCGTCCACAGCGGCTTTTCCTGGTGGGTTTCCAGTCCTCGGGGCCGGCTCCAGCCTCTGAGCGCGCTTTTCTCCTCTGCAGCATCTCCTCCGCCAAGGCCGGCCAGCTGTGCAGGCCTCCCATGAGCTTGAGGTTGTGGCAACCGAATATGAGCAGGACACCATGGTGGTGAGTGGAGACGTGCTGGGGTTTGGCCGCGTCAAGCCCATCGGTGTCCACTCGGTGGTGAAGGGCCGGCTGCACCTGACCTTGGCCAACGTGGGTAAGAGTCCCCAGCCTTGTACCGTTTCTCCAGTGGCCGCCCAACCCCTCTGGTAGAGTGTGGGCTCCCTCGGACAGGGGCCACATCATGGGCTTCACGGGCCCAGGAAGAAACCGGCAGAATTCTCACCAGCTTGGCCATGGAGCCTGTGTCCTTGGCTGCTGAGTCTGTCCTGGAACCAGTTGTTTGCATTCTGAATTTCTCATCGGGGTTAGAGGTCATCAGTCATCGGGCTCTCCTGCATTTTGTTGTTTGGTGCCATCCCTGGAGGATCTCCAGGACAGTCCTCAAATACAGTGATCGGGTTCCGGGATAGACTTCCCTGTGTCTCATGATGGAGTACAGACAAGGGAAGTGTTCCTAACTTCCCTGCAGCCCAGGAGGAGGAGAATGGAGAGGCGCACTTCTTCTCGGCCCAGCACCATGACTTGATAGAAAATGGTGCCCCACGATTGCTCGTTAGAGGGACTGAGCAAAGCCCTGGACTTCACTCCATGTCCAGGACTATGGCGGGTGGGACACGTGGGTTGGGTGGCTCAGGAGGGTCCCACCTGAGACGTTCCAGGGGCTTTGACTGAGGCCTCTGCTGGGACAGGGGCTGCTGATGGGACGTCGAGGGACACAAGGCTGGGTGCCTGCCTGTGTGCACCTCAGGGCAGAGGACCAGTGTGGGACCCTGTAGGGCCAGTGACAAGCTCACTGAACCTCCCGAGGGTCCTCTGGAACGTTTGGGATTTTTCAAGGCAGAATTGAAAGCACAGCAAAACTAAGCTGTGTGGTGTTTCCGAAGCTGTGTCTGTCTGCATGAGATTCAGACTTCTCTGCTATTTTATTAGGGAATTTTCCACTCCTCAGAACCCAGCCTGATTGTAAACCCCAGAGCCCCATGGGCCACATCCACCCGGCACTGGCAGCACACAGGCTGGGGGGGCCGGCGGAGGGGCTCAAGTGCACAGCCGTTGAGTTGGCTCGGAGGCTCTGCCTGCCTGTTTATGAATGTAGATCCGAGGTGGCCTGGAAAATAGACAATATGGACACAGCAAAACTCAATTAGGTTCCGGAGAAATAAATGAGCCACATGTGAGCAGGAGGCGTTATTCAAAGGCCCGCGTGCAACTAAGGGAGCTGCAAGGCGTGTTCTTGTCCGAGACCGCGCGGGTTGTTTTTACATTTAATTCTCCAGCTCACAAATGTGCAGTGACTCCAGGTTTTAAAATCTTATCTTCAGAAGAAAGATTGCCTCCATTATATGTTATCTCCAATTGTCATTTTCATACTTTGCCTGCAAGAGAGAGATAAGCTCATGGGAAGGGAAGGCTGAGATAGCCAGCCCGGGAGCCTCCAGTGCCCACGGGAGAGGGAGAGGTCTTAACAAAGGACAGATGCCACCCGCAGCGCTCTGCGCATCCGTGCAGCGAGCCTGGCTCTCCTCCGTCAATTCCGCATTTTTTGGGGAAAAAAAGTGTTATGGCTTTTCTTTCTTCATAAAACTGGCCATTCTGTGGTACAGTAGGCCTCTCTCTGCCAGCAGCATGAGTGCTGGCCGTGGAAGCCTGCAGGGTGACTGAGCGGGATGGAGCCTGAGCCTCGGCCTCAGCCTGGGTTCTGCTCTGGGCCGGCTGCATTCACAGTGCGTGTTCCTGTCTGAGGCCGTGCAAGGAAGCCTGTGCCATGGCTGGGGACACGGGCGTCTGCCAGCTGGACCCAGGGCCCTGGGACTCTGATGACGGGGAGAGGACTGCCCTCGTGCTTGGTGGCTGCTCCACGCAGGCCTGCTGACTTCCTTGGCAGCCTCTTTCGCACTGTCTTTCGGTCAGCTTTTGTCGTCCAGGGACTGCAAGCACCAGATTGCTTTCTTTGATCCCAGTGATCTTAGCTGTGGAGTAGGACAGGGGTTCGGCTGGGAGCTTGGGTGTTACTTGTGTTCTGTGGCCCTTCCTGGGGGAGGCCGGCATCTGCAGAGATGGCCTCACAGGCCAAGCATCTGTGTTCTCATGGGATATCCTAGGAGAACTGGGTGGTGATGGACTCTGACAGACGACCAGGCTGTGGGGTCACACGGTTGGCAGTGGTGGGCTTTGCTCCAGCTGCAGGGCTGCATCAGGAGCCCGGTATGTTTGCAGGGAATTCCTGCCCCTGTAGCAGATGTGTTGGTGCAGGCGTAACCTGTCTCATGGAAAGGGAAGAAAGCCTGCACTAATCTAACACCCAAGTTGTGCCCTGATGAAATGCAGTGCCTTTGCCGCTTGTACCCTTCTTGAGTGAGCGTGCAAGTGTAAATTCAGCTTACCTGCTTTATTTTCCCATGTGCTCTAAGTATAAATATAGTAAGAGGAAATGCTCATGAAGCCCAGCAGGGTTCCGTGTCCTGCTGGTCCCACCCGCTGCAGCCATTGTCATCATTAGGTGTCCTGCGAGCCTGAGCTCCAGGAATGCTGATCGCCTGCCCTGGGAGCTGTCTGGACCCAGCTCGGCCTTGTAACACTTTCCTTGATCTCTTAGTACTTCTCGGGGTGGTGCATAGTTCAGGCTTAAAATAGCCCAGTGCCCTCTCCAGTCAGATGTGAGTGGACCAGAGGCCTTCTCGTCTGCCATTCAGGGAACCACTCGCTAGCAGATGAAGGTGGTCGAGAAAGCTGTGGAGCCTTCTGGGCTGCCCCTGGTGTGGGGTGAACCCACTGCAGCCCACAGTGAACAGAGGTGCTGGGAGGCCCCTCCTTCTTGGAGCAGGTCCTCAGGATGTGACAGAGAGCTTGCCAGGACTGCCAGCCCATGAGCTGCTGCCCCTGCCATGAATTCTCGTGGGAAGACACACACATGCAGCAAGAAGCCAGGACAACGCTGAGCTCATGAGTGGGAAACTGAGGCTTTGGGGCCGGTGGCACTTTCTCCCCGTCATGTGGAGGGCAGCGTGGCCCAGAGCGTGGGCATCAGTGGCACTTTCTCCCCGTCATGTGGAGGGTAGCGTGGCCCGGAGCGTGGACATCAGTGGCACTTTCTCCCTGTCATGTGGAGGGCAGCATGGCCCGGAGCGTGGACATCAGTGGCACTTTCTCCCTGTCATGTGGAGGGCAGTGTGGCCCAGAGCGTGGACATCGGTGGCACTTTCTCCCCGTCATGTGGAGGGCAGCATGGCCTGGAGCGTGAACATCAGTGCCGGTGCCCCCACCTCTGGCCCTGGCACAGGCAGGCTGGGCTGGTTCAAGCTGCTGTCCTTTCCCCGCCCCAGCCTGCTTGTCTGCCGTTTTCCCACATGAATCTGGGAGGTCTTTGAGGACCCTGATCGTGGCTTCTTTGTGTTGGTGTTTGCCCTTGAACCTGGTGCTGTGGTGCAGAGATTGATGAAAGCGTTGATAAGAAGCCTGAGCACCCTTCTTATCTGGAGCCCTGTTCTCCTTGGGCTTCAGGAGATACAGCCTATGGGGCATGGACATCTATTCGTGTGAAGGAGCGCTGATCTGGGTTTCTTTCTTGGGGACGGGGATCTTGATCCTGTGACCACGAGTTTTAGGGCCAAAAACGGATTCCTGGCAGGCGAGAGGAGGGTGTTTGGGCAGAGGCTCTGCAGCCTCCACCGGGAGGGGATGGGCTTTAACTTGAGGGGAAGCTGGAGACCCCTGCAAAGCTTGTGGGAGCAGAGGTGGCCATGGCAGGCTAGCACAGGAGGGAGGGTCTAAGAGCAACAGGGAGAAGACCAAAATAGCCCTTGTTCTAGGTGCTTGTTCTCAGGAAGCCGGCTTGGAGTGAGGACTGAGTGGACGCTGTACGTGCCGGGAGTCGGTTGGTAGCCCAAAGGTGGAAGCACAGTGCAGGGCCTGCAGGGGAAGTGGAGGCTGCATCTTTGTGGGGATGTAGCAGGGACCTGGGCCAAGGGGGAGGTCAGCACGGCTGTCCTGCTGCACAGCACGGTGCTGACGTTGGGGTCAAGGAGAAAGAACAGGAGGCAGGGGATGTCAGCTACTGGGACATCGGAAGGAATGAAATTCTCCTGGAAAGAGATGGCTCGGTAAGTGCGCCACTGGCCTTTCTGGTTGCCAGCTGTGGCGTGGGAGGAGGCAGTCAGCCTTCCCATCCTTCTGGTGACGGCTGTGAGCGTGGCCATCAGAACCTGGCCTTGAGAGCCGAATTCTCAGCACAGGTGAGCAGGCAGCTTGACCCCACGTTTGCTGCCCAGTGAGCTTTCAAGCTGCCTCCAGGGACGGCGCTGAGCCAGGGAATTCTGCATTTGTGCTCGTGCACAGATGGGAGGAGGCGGCCAACGCGCCAGTGCCTTTGCCACAGTTGCTTTCGGAGCTTCAGTTTTGAAAGAACTTACGAAGACTGAAGCAGGGACAGATGACCAAGAACAGCTCCAGCCTGCAGGAGGTGGCAGAAAGGCCAGCCCGGCTTGGACTGAGATCCAGAGAGAGAACTCAAGATGACCAAAGGAACTTAAGAATTGGGAGAATGTGAGTTCTTTGAGGGCCGCAGGGACTGTTTGCTGCTGTGTCGCCAGCTTTCCATCCATCTGTGAAGTGAAACTCTTCTAGAAGTTTTCTAGAGATTGACTCCAGGCTGTCTGTGATTGCTAAATCTAACCTCTTTCCACCACCACATCGGGGCCTTTGCCCTCAACAGCCCTTTTTGGGGGCCGGTCTGCTGTCCCACCAATGTGTTTGGTGTCACCATCTGAGATTCAGTATCTGGCTTTTGGATCCTTTCCAGAATCCAGGTGCTGTTCGCTGGGGTGTGGAGGGGCTGGACTCGGGTAGAGCAGCTCGGAGACCTGCCTGGCTCCCTTGGGAGGATGCACGCTCCCTTTCCAGCCTCAGCTCAGAACCATTCTAGAGAGACACCTCCGTCAGCTCCAGTTTTGTCACCGGGAGAACCTGGGTTGGATGGAGGATGTGGCACCTCTGCAGGCGCCTGCGCATGGGCATGCTCCCAGCACTGGGCTTGTCCTTGGAAACAGCAGCTCCTGATGGGCAAGAGGGGAGGGAACCTGACGCAGCAGGTGGATCTGCCAAGGCTGAGGAGGGACCTGGCCAGTGTGGAAGCCCCTCCCTCCCCTGGGGCTGAGGGTGGGCAGAAGCGAAGGGATGCAGAGAGGCAGGCAGCCCGGAGAAGGGGTTCCCGCTTTTAACAGCTCCCAGGAAAATGGTGAGGACATCCCAGGCCCAAGGACACTCAACACTGCCTCGTCGGAATTAAGGAGATTGATGACACAAGCATTTTGCACACACCCTGGGTGCTTCATTTTGGGACACAGCTTCGTTGGCGGTGCTCTGCCTCACCCCTTGGGGAGGTAAAGGCCACACTGAGGTTGTGGGTCCCATCCTCGCAGGAGAGTGTACCGTGGGCAAGCACGGCTTTCCCTAGGATACTCAGGTTTGCAAGTTCGCAGGGCACCACACCCACCAGCCACAAGACACGCTTGTCCCGAGGCCACACTGCTTGCTCGCCAAAGGCTTCTGTTACGAACACAGCTCTGGTGAAGGCTCCAGTTTGTGGGGACTCTTTCACCCTGGGTGTGTGTGGAGTCAGACATTTGCACGGGTAAATGTACTCTCCTTGAACAATGTGGCCATCAAGAGGCTGAGGTTACAGTTTGTGAGGCAGCCCACCTTGCGACCCAGAGATCCAGAAGTAAGAATCCATGTGCAGTGAACTGTGAGTGCCACATGCTTTCATTCATCACCAGGAAACAGAGGCTGTTGCTGACACGGCAGAAGAATGAAGACCCAGCAGAAAGTTCACAGCAGAACGAGCTCCCACCTCTCTCTCAATTGCAAAACATTGAAAACAGAGGCGGTGGGGCCTTAGCATGCCAGGGTGTAGATGGGCCATTTGAAAGCCAGAACTGCTTATGTGGTGGGTTGATCTGTTTCATCAGATTCTCATTTGGGGTTAGTGGCTTATGTTGGGATGTTTTTCATTTAGGTCACCTGTGTGAACAGAAAGTGAGAGGTTGTAGCACATTGCCACCATCCAGATCTCGGGTCATCTCAAATGATGGAGCCAGCCGCTTCTCTGGAGGCAGCCTCCTCACAAGTGGAAGCTCAAGGCGTGAGTTGACACTGTTGGGCCCATGTGCGGGTGGGTGATGAGTGGGGCTGAGAGGTGGAAGACTGTGTGTATGTGTGTTTGTGTGTGTGTGCATGTGCACCATTCGTGGTGCTGACAATGCCCCTCTGCATCTAGGATGGCATTGTGCTGTCCACGTGCAGGTGGGTCGTGAGTGGCATGTGAGAGGTGGAAGGCTGCATCTGTGTGTGTGTGTGTGTATGCGCACATGTGCGCGCCTGTGCATAGGCACCATTCATGATGCTCTTAACGCCCCTCTGCGTCTAGGGCAGGACTGTACTGCCCATGTGCAGCTTGGTGCCCTGGCTGGATGCCCCTGTGGACCTGCAGGCCCCACCGAGCCACCACATTGATCACACCCTGGTGCTCTAGGCTGGGCTCTGCAGGCGACTGTGCTGTTTGAAGTGGGAACCCTGCCAGGGGCATTTGTGTCTGGTTGGCTGCTCATCTGCAAGGGAAGGAGAAATGGAGAGAAGGTCAGGATGAACCTAGACTGATTTTCAAAACAAGCTGAGGTCCCCCATGTTGTGAACAGAAGAGAGAAGCCAGTTATGGAGCTTGGGAAAGACAGACCTCGTTTTGAGAGAAAGACCTGGGTTAGGTGAAAATGTGTTTCACAGCAGGGAGGCTCTGAAGTTTTTCTCTCCCCTTAAAATTTAAGGCCTCACAGACTTGAATATAAAGTACTTATCATTTGAATTACAAGTCGGAAGTGCTCTTTAAGGAGCATTTTTTCCAGAGGTTGCAGATCATTTTGTGTGAATTCAAAGCTGCCGTGCGCTTTTGTGTGTTGCTGGGCCTTGGAACTGTGGCTTGTTAGAGGTGGGAGGGGCCCTTGGGTTCCATCCTGCAATGTTCCCAGGAACTCTGGGTAAACTTGTACGTTCTCCCTGGGAGCAGACATGAGGGGCTCAGAGGGATTCATGATCCAGGCAGGGTAGAGTGTTCTGGCCCAGCTTCCTCATTGTAATTTTGAAGAAACTGAGATGAAGAGAGGTCAGGTGACTTGGCCAGTGCTGTGGCTAAGGGGTGAACTTGGCTTAGAATCTGGATTCCCTGCCCTGGGGTCAGTGCCCTTCATCCTCAGCTGGTCCTGCAGACCACCTAGAGTATGATGGAGAAGCAGCTCCATAGAGAGAAGTGCCTGAGCTCTAGGAGCCAGGCTGAGGTTATTGATAAAACCCTGCCTCCAGGCGCAGCAGGTCAAGGGCTCAGCTGTCAGGGAGCAGGAACCCAGGACTCGCTGAGACAATCAGAGGCCCTGAGGTCAGTGATCTTCCAGACCCTGTTTTGCTCAGAACTGGCATAGGAGGTGTCCCTTAAAAGCACATGTCTCACCCATGGAGCAAGGTTCTGCAATTAGCAAGTTGCACGAAGTTTTAAGAAGCTTCTTAGTGCTTCATGCCTCACCCCAAGTGCAGTCTCATGGTCACTCTGTAACTTCATTTCTTGTTTCACTGGGACCACGAGAGGTATTTGTTGGGGTGATGCAATGTGAAGACTTGAGCTCATGGTAAACCCCCACCTGCCCAGGCCCCAGGTCCCTCACTCACGGCTGTAGCTGCAAGTAGCTCAGACCGAGCCTGTGCCCGAGAGCCACTCGGGGCATCTGTAAAGCAGTTTACCGCCTTTAAAATTGGATGGTGGTGAGGGACCTGACAGTGGCACCTGTTTCCTTGTGAGGAGTCAGGGGTCACATTGCTGCCCACTGTGTGGAGGCTTCTGCAGGGGGTGCCAACGCCCCATACAGGTGGAACCAGGCGGGGAGAGCTCAGGCTGGCGTTGGTTTCCTGTGGGAAGTTTCTACTGGTGCCAGAGAGTGAGGAAGGACCCAGGCCCTAAGCTGGGGCACCCCTCAGCTGCCCTGCCTGTGCCGGGCTGAGCGATTGTCTGGGAGTCTCATGTGTCAGCCTGTGGCATGGCCACATGGTCACCTAGTACAGTCCCACCCAACACCCTGAGCTCCTGCTCTGTGTCAGAAGGAAGGGCCTGGCCCATCCAGTGGTGGCTGAGCCTTTGCCTGCCAGTGCTTGACCCTGTTCAGCTTCTGTTGGTTTGCTAAATGAGTCATTGTATATCCCTGGTTTGAGTAGGGCCACCCCAAAGAAGACGGGCTGTCCTGGGGGCCAGGCAGTCCAGGGGCAGCTGGGGTGGAGTTGAGAGCAGGAACTTGGGGGCCAGGCCTGCTCTGAGCTTCATCCCTCACCACCTAGTAGCTGAAGGCCTCCTGCCAAGGGGACAACCCCTTACCCCCATTCCTGATCCGAGGGACTGAGGCCAGCAGCCCTGGGTGAAGGCATTAGTGGGCCCTTTAAGATCCCGAGAGCGTGGGCTTCTAGAACATGGCCTCGTTCCCCTAGAAAACCCCCTGGTGGTGTGTTGATAGCGTTGGATCTAAGGACCAGAGTCAGAATTGCTTTTAATTTGGAGGCTGAGGAAAGGAGGGAATGCTGTGGAAACCAGGGTATAAAGTTATCATCTTTATCTGGATCTCAGAACTCTGCAGATTGGAGCTGCAAAAAGCATGAGCCGCGCTCTTGAGCTCCCTCCCTGCACAGGTGGTCCTGGGAGGCCTGCCCCCACATCTGCTCCTGGAAGGCAGACACTGCACGTCCACCCGACTCCCCCTCTGACCCTTTCTCAGGAAAACACGTGGTGCAAGCGCAGAAGCTGGCGGACGTGGACAGTGAGCTGGCCGCCATGCTGCTGACCCATGCCCGGCAGGGCACGGGGCCCCGGGACGTCGGCCGCGAGTCGGATGCCACCCGCAGGCGTAAACTGGAGCGGATGAAGTCTGTGCGCCTGCAGGAGGCCGGGGGAGAGTTGGGCCCGCGCGGGACGAGCGTGTTGGTGAGGGTTTGTTCAGCTGTCACTGTCCCGGGGTCTCCACGCAGACCGAGTCACTGTACACATCTCTCCCTGCCTCCCTCGTGATTCTCTCTGACCTTCCTCCCAAATCCTAGGAATATAAGAAATCGGACTTTTTCAGCCACCGGGGGAAATCTTTAAGTGAGAATTATCTGGAGAGCTTTTACTAAAAGCCATTTCTTGGGCGTCAGCCCTGGAGATTCTGACACTGATTGGTTTGGGCAGGACCGCTGGAGCCTGGGTTTGAAGAAAGCTTTGCCTGTGAGTCTGAGGCTTTCCCAGGTCTGGGGACCAGAGCTGTGAACAGCTGACATATCCTGGGTTATCAGTGTAATCATTCTGGCTAGAAAAATTCCCCTTTTTGGCTGAAAATCTAAATAGAACTATTAATATTTTGCAACTAAGAAATGGGAGGTGAGAATGGTTGTACCTCCTGGGTGCATAGAAGTCGGGAACCACAGGGACCTCGAGAAAGGTCTCCTGAGACTCCCCTTTGCATGCAGGCAGGCCGGAGTCTGAACAGAGGTGTCCCTTCTCCTGACAGTAAACTCAGCAGGGCCATCACTCAGCCTCCCCGCCAGTGAGGCCTTGGTGCTCAAAGGTGGATGCAGATGCCTCGGTCCCTACCTAGGCTAAGTTCAGTCTGATGGGGTGGGGTGAGGAACAGGCATGGTGAGAGGACACGGGGTGGGGAGGCCTGGCCTGAGCCTGCAGGACGGGTGGGCTCAGTGGTCAGGGAGGAGGGAGGGACTAGAGGGAGGCCAGGGGTAGGGCCAGGGCATGGCTGGGGCCTCCTCCCAGGCCTCAGAACACCCACCCCACCTCCCTCTCTCCCTCCCTCCTTCCCAGCTGGCAGGGCTTGAAGCTGTGGCCTCTGGAGGCCCCCAGCCTGGATAACCTTAGCTCTGTCAGCATGAGCTTGGAAGTGAGGAGCCACTCTCAGCCCTAGCCCTGTTTCTCATCCTTACTCATGTCTGGCCCCATTGTCCAGCACAGCCTGTCAGAGGTTCAACTCCTGAAAAGCTCTGATGATAAATTCTGATGGAAGCCCCAAGTGTGAAAGGCTCAGCTCCAATCCCCCTGGCAAAGGAAAAGCCAAAGCTTTGGATGTTGGAAAGTGAATGTCCAAAGTCATTTGAGTCAGGAATCAAATTTTGTCCTCACCTTTTGAGTTAAATCCTGAAAGCATTCAAGTCAGTCCATCTCTCTGACGCCTCAGCCTCCTCTGTTAGACAGAAGGTTCCCAGCGCCCTACCGCAGCGGCTTCTTGGAGTAACTGTAGGCTGGCCGACTCCCCGGCATGGGGGTGGCCCCTTCCAGGCCTGAGATCTTGCAAGGCAGCCTCTAGAGGGCCTCACTTTTTCTTGTAAGGCCCACAAGAAAAACAAGCCAGTCTCCAACCTGTAGAACCCATGTGCGCTGGCCAAGCCCCTCGAGTCCCTGGGGCATCAGAGCAAGGGGGTGGCTGAGCCTCGCTGAAGCAGCATGCTGCTTGCCCGCACTCTGACCCGGTGTGGCCGAGAGTCTGCAGGCCGGGGGCATGTCCTCTCCTGCGGACTCTGGGCCCAGACAGGGCTCCTGACATTGTGTTGGGGACCTGGCGGGTGAGGCCTGTCACCATAGTTTTGAGGCTATTCTTTTCTCTTGTTTGAAACCACTGTTTCTAATTCTCCACTGGGCGGGGGGCCAGGCTTGCGGCTGTGAGGAGTCTCTCCGGAGCAGGCAAGGGTGCTGTGTGGACCTCCGTGTCGGGGACACAGCCAGCAGATCTCTGTCCAGCATTGCCTGAGATCCACGCCTGGGTGGGGCCGGCCAGTTCCACCCAGACCACATGGTGAAGGAAGTGGGTGGCGGTGGCGATGCTGGTGGAGAAATGTCCTGTTCTGAGATCGCAGGTGGTGGGCAGCCAGCAATAGCCGCTCGTGGAGGAGAGCGTGCCTGAGACCCTGTCCGCCCATATCGTCTTGTCCGCAGGCCCAGCAAAGCGTCCGCACACAGCACTTGCGGGACCTACAGGTCATCGCCGCCTACCGGGAGCGCACGAAGGCAGAGAGCATCACCAGCCTGCTGAGCCTGGCCATCACCACGGAGCACACACTCCACGCCACAGTGGGGGTCGCCGAGTTCTTTGAGTTTGTGCTTAAGAACCCCCACAACACACAGCACACGGTGACCGTGGAGATCGACAACCCTGAGCTCAGGTGAGGTCTCAGCAACACCCATCCTGCCCCAGCCCAGATCTGTGTCGGGTGCAGCCGGCTCCCCTGCTGAGCTGGCTTGAATTCTGCCCGAGAGCCGAGGCAATTCGGCTCCTCTCTCCCACTCCTCTGAGCACTGCTGTCGGTGGGTGGGACACAGCCTCCTGTGGGCCTTACTGGGAAGAACTGCCCTGACGCCTGGACACTGCCTTCCCCAGCGTCATCGTGGACAGTCAGGAGTGGAGGGACTTCAAGGGTGCTGCTGGCCTGCACACGCCGGTGGAGGAGGACATGTTCCACCTGCGCGGCAGCCTGGCCCCCCAGCTCTACCTGCGCCCCCACGAGACCGCCCACATCCCCTTCAAGTTCCAGAGCTTCTCTGCTGGGCAGCTGGCCATGGTGCAGGTGCGGGTGTCAGGCACACAAGGAAGTTGCATTTGGCTGATGACAGTGGGAAACTGAGAATGCTTCCAGTCTCCACCAGTGTCCCTCCCGTGCCTGTGGCAGACGGACTAGCCTTCGGGCTGCCATCCACTCCCCTTTGTGTTCAACAAGAGCCCTGGCACGTGCACTGCGAGTGGCAACCTGCCCCTTCTCTTTTCCAGCCTGATGGGTGTCGGGCTGGACCATCTCATCCTAATTTTCTTTACTGGGTTGGTTGTTAGGGCTTCTTAAAGCCCAGTGAATCTAATGGATTGACATTTTCTAGCATCTTCTTTCCAGTTAATGTTGGTTGGTCGCTTCCGACTGCAGCACTGGCTGCTCTATGCAAGATACAGCTTTGCTGGCATGTGTGCGTGGAGCATGAGTGTAGGGAGCATGCATGCAGCAGGTGTATTTGCAAGAGGTATGTGTGCAGGGGGGGATATGTGAGGCGTGTGTGCAGGAGGCATGTATGCGGGGTGTATGTGAGGCACACGTGTAGGAGTGGTGCGTGTGGGGGTCTGTGTGAGGTGTGTGTGCAGGGGGTGGTGTGTGAGGCGTGCCTGCAGGGGGTGTGTCATGCCTGGGTGTGTGAGGCAGGCATAGAGGCATGGAGTGTGTGTTTCAGCTTTTGACCTTTTGGGGTCAGCTCTTTAGGGTGATGGTCATTGCTTAAGGTGGACTTGAAATGTCCCTAGAGGCTCACTCACAGGGTTCCATGCTGGCTCTTGGGACGGGCTGTGAGGACAGCAGGTGGGACCTCAGGCCTTTGGCTTCAGGCAGAGCTGGGTTTCCACCTGGGATCTGCTGTTCCTTTGTTCCTGGCAGCCTCAGCCTTCTCTGGCACAGTGAGGCCGGTTGGTGATGGTTGCTGCCCGGAGAGTCAGTGTGAGAGGAGGCTGGTGGCTCCCAGCTGGGTGGCAGTGGTGTCTCTAAGCACAGGTGCTGGTCACCTAGTGGTGTCGCTCCCTGACCTGCTTGTGCTGATTGGTTCCTGCAGGCCTCTTCTGGATTGAGCAACAAGAAGGGCACAGACGCCGTGTCACCTTGGAAGTCCAGCGCAGTGCCCGCTAAACACGCCAAGGTAAAGGGGCAACAGAGGACAGACTGATCTCGGGGCTTCTCAGGTATTCCCAGGGCCTAACCCTTATGTCCTTCTCTCCCCTCCTGGAGGGGAGGGCTGGGGCCAGGTCAGGGCAGGGGTGGTGTGGGCCTGGGAATGGCCTTCTCCATGTCTTCGCTGGGCAGGGCAGCTCCGTCTGGGCTCCGGCACAGCCTGCTTTGTGTCTGGTGGGAAATACCTCCTCGGTGGCCGCCTTCTCACAGCCAGGGCTCTCCGGGTGTGAAGCCGCAGTTCCTATGGTGGCTGCCACAGCCTGTGGCCACTTTGTGAGCCTCACACACAGCATTCCCTGGGGTGTGTGGGGTGTGGTTCTTCCTGGAAATAAGACTTAGACCTTGGTTATATCCCTTGCTAAGCGAAGGCCGTGGAGTAAAGCACCTGCTTCGCAGCAGCTGGCTGAGACATTCGCAGGAGGAGCTTGAGACGTTGCTGCTTTATGGCAGTTTCTGAAGGTTTTTCTTTTTTTTTTTTTTTTTTGAGACGGAGTCTCGCTCTGTCACCCGAGCTGGAGTGCAGTGGCCGGATCTCAGCTCACTGCAAGCTCCGCCTCCCGGGTTTACGCCATTCTCCTGCCTCAGCCTCCCGAGTAGCTGGGACTACAGGCGCCCGCCACCTCGCCCGGCTAGTTTTTTGTATTTTTTAGTAGAGACGGGGTTTCACCGTGTTAGCCAGGATGGTCTCGATCTCCTGACCTCGTGATCCGCCGGTCTCGGCCTCCCAAAGTGCTGGGATTACAGGCTTGAGCCACCGCGCCCGGCCAGGTTTTTCTTTATTTGGTAGAAACATGCCTTTTGTAGTAGTTGGGAAGTGAAAAACAAAATGAAAAAGCTCTGGTCTTTCCTACACCTTGCCTGGAGGACAGAATTCAGAGTTCAGCACAGTCCCAGCCTGAGGCTGTGGGGTCCCCGTGGCCCGGGTCTCACTGTGGTTACAGCCTGGCCCTCTGTGTCCACCAGGCCCCATCACCAGTGAGAACTTGCTTTATTTTGTTTAAATGCAGCCACAGCTTTGCCTTGATCTAAGGAATACTTCTGTTCTTTATTGAGTGCTCTAGGTTAATACCTTTTCCTTACATGTGTGGGAAGTCCCAGCCATCACATCCTGTTGCCAGAACTGTTGGGAGGAAGGTTTTCCTCTGCTAGCTTAGGTCTGAATGGCAAGGCCTGCAGGTGGATGACGGTAGACAGAGGGATGGGAGGAAAGATGGGCCTCACCGTCGCAAGCCCGTGACAGCATTGGGAAGTGAGTAGCTTGCCGAATGCCCAGAGGTCGAGGTTTGTGTGCCAATGTAGCACGAAGGGGCGAGGGCCAGGGCCTCTGTGGGAAGGCAGGGATGTTCTGTTGTCTCTTCGTGCTGTAGGCATGGGCAGTCTGCGACCTTCCTGGAATTTGCAGGATGCTTTCACTTTCACATAGGGGGTTAATGGCAGCTGCATTTTCAGGAGGCTGTGCACTAGTCAGATAAGGGAAGTTCAGATAAAGATTTCAGGTGTTTTCACCTTAAAGTAATCTTTATGTCAAAAATATGGTCTCTTCACCTGAGTTTGGAGTTTGAAGGGAAATCCTAGGCATTGTGTTAGTTTACCCATAATTACTGCAGTGTGTATCTCGGACCGATGAGGACTTTTCTTTTTATCGTGACTGCTTGCTGTCATCGCTGCCCCTGTCAAGGCGGATCTCGGCATCGTCTGCTGGGGCTCTAAGCACGGGCCTTTCTACAGCTGGTGTGTTTGGGTTGGGACCCGCTGGCCTGGGGTGCGCCACCTCTGGAGTTGCTCAGTGGGCAGGCCACGTTGTCCACGAAGGCCACCCACAGAGGCCATGCTGGCTGTCACCGTGCTCAGGTGCTGACGGCCTGTTGCTGTCACCCGCTTCTCCCTCATTCGCATCCAGCTGAGGCTCCTGGCCCACGTGTGTTCCATCCAAGGTGAAATTACAGTCTTGTCATTCTTCCTGTGATTTTCCTACAAACAAGGACTTTCCCCACCAGTGGTTTGGTTACCCTAAAATATGCTTTGTACTTGAAAGTGAGGGTGAATGTTAGAATCATTCCCTTTATTTGTCAATTTTCAAGTAAGCGAGCTGCGTCCTAGCACCCTCCAGAGACAGTCCGTGTTTGTGGCGTCTCGTGATGGACACCTGGGCTTTATATTTGTATTTCTCATCCCATGGAGGCTTCACTCTTAGATGCTGGAACTGCCCTCTCTCTGGCCACTGCCATCCTTTTCAGGTTAACTCCTGTGCCTTTTTTTTCGTTGTTATAAAAAGTAGTTATTTTGAAATAATGTAGAACTTAGGGAAAAGTTACAGGAAGAGTGCAGAGTCCCCACATGGGGTTTTCCCAGCCTTCCCAAGCACCAACCTTTGCCATGGTTGCCTCACTGTTCTCTGTTTATGCATTTTTCTTGAACAATTTGAGAATAAATTATCAGGTAATGCCCTTTACTCCATGACACTTTGAGCTGGGTTGTCTTGAAAATAAGGCCACTGTCCTCTACAGGCAAGGCAGAGCCATGAAAATTAGACACTCCTCTTCTGTCATCACAGGCCCCGTTCACATTCGCAAATGTCCCAGTACTTGATAGACGGCCCACCCAGCGGCCCCCAGCAGCCCGCTGCCCATGGAGTCCCTCTGGCGTGGCTGTAGCTGTGGCTGTTCTGAAGGGCACAGGCGGTTATCCTGCAGGGTGTGCCCAGTGGGGCTGGTCTGGTGTTGGTTTTGGTTAGACCCAGGTTCGGTTAGACCTGGGTTCGGTTAGGCCTTGGTTCGGTTAGACTCGGGTTTGATTAGACCCAGGTGATGCACTTGGGACAGGGACTTCGCAGACATTTGCTGTGTCCTCTCCGAACATCATACTGTGAGGGACACCATGTTGCTTTGTCCTGTTACTGGTGATGTTAGTGTTTCCATTCAGTGAAGATGGCATCTGCCATGCTTTTTTCCTGTAATATCAACTAAGAAATATTTGTGGCTGGGCGTGGTGGCTCAAGCCTGTAATCCTAGCACTTTGGGAGGCCGAGATGGGCGGATCACGAGGTCAAGAGATCGAGACCATCCTGGCTAACACGGTGAAACCCGTCTCTACTAAAAAATACAAAAAAACTAGCCGGGTGAGGTGGCGGGTGCCTGTAGTCCCAGCTACTTGGGAGGCTGAGGCAGGAGAATGGCATAAACCCGGGAGGCGGAGCTTGCAGTGAGCTGAGGTCCGGCCACTGCACTCTAGCCTGGGCGATAGAGCGAGACTCCGTCTCAAAAAAAAAAAAAAAAAAAAAAAAAAGAAATATTTGTGTCTAGTAATCAGAAAGTCATGAGTAAGTATCTTGTTGGGAGATACTGAGGCCTTTCAAATACCCTCTTCTTCATCAGACTTTTACGCACTAGGTCTCAGTGTGCACTGATGACCGCCCCGAGTTGGTAGTTAATGGGATGCTTGCCTGCCGTGGATTTTCCAATTCCCTCATTCCTTCTCTGTCGATTACTGGTATTTTAAGTAAGGTAGGGCTGTGCCTTCACCCCATTCATGTATTTACTTCTTATAGCCTTATGAACAATGAATTTCTATTTTATTCATTTTGTTACTATTTATTTTGTTGCTCATATCCATGTTGTCCCTGACTAAGGAGGGCAGCCCCTTCAGGCCAGCTCCTGTGTCCTGTTGATTCACCCCTGTCCTCCTTTGAGTCTTTCCTTACTGCCCAGCACAGCAAGATGCCCCAGGCTCAGCTTGCATTTCAGGAATGTCAGCCATTTAACTAAGGTTCTTTTGGTTGGAGAATGACATTTAGAAACCAAGATTTGAGTGCTAGATGTACTCAGTGCTACTGGGATGTCACTGCTGCTAGTCCCTGTCAGCAGAGAGACCTAAGAGGTGTATGCCTGTATATACAGATACATATGTGCATATCATGCATATACGATGTATAGCTATGTGCGTGTGCATATGTATGTGTGTGTATGTGCATAGACTACTGTTTCTAGTGTGCTGAAGACCATGAATTTGCAGCAGTTCTTCCAACACCAGTTCAACATCACGGGTTTCTTCCTGCTGTCTTTTTTCCATGTTTGTAATTCCCATTTTTGCTCGTGAGAAACCTGGCTCCCATTTGGTTCGCTATATTTAGTTATTTGCCTAATTTCCTCTGTATCTAACCAATCTGCTGACCACACTGGCCAAATCCCTTTGGCTACAATACCACTGGCCACACTGGCCATCTTTGTGTATGTGTATATTTCAAAACATCAGTACCAACCGGGGATAGACACTATCTGTCAGTGCAAGATGTCTGAAGGTGCATTTGTCCTTAGGTCCTTTGTATCCTGTGATTTAAATTTACTTAAAGAATTCTTCTCTGGGTAGTTACAGCACCAACTTGATAGAAGGTTAGATTTGTTTATTTTTAATACATTGACACTTCTATTTATTTTAGTTTTCAAAATTAAAAACATTTAAGTCAAAAATCAAACTATAAAGCAAGATATATTTGGAAGGATCTTTTCATTCCTGACCTGCCCCACTGTCTCCTTCTCGATGTGTACAGGTGTGAAGTGTGTGCATGTGTGGGTGGTGTGTGTGTGCATGTGTGTGGATACATCCGTGTGTGTGCATGTGTGTCTACATGTGTGGGTGCATGCATGTGTGGGTGGATGTGTGTATGCTTATATGTGTGTGCATGTGTGTGGGTGCATGCATGTATGTGCATGTGTGGGTGCATGCATGCGTGTGTGCATGTGGGCACGTGTGGGTGCGTGCATGTGGGTGCGTGTGGGTGCATATGTGGGTGGATGTGTGTGTGTGGGCACATGTGTGTGTGCATATGTGCATGCATATATGTGCATGTGTGGGTGCATGTGTGCATATGTGGGTGCATGTGTGGGTGCATGCATGTGTGTGTGCATGTGTGTGAGTGCATGTCTCTGTGTGTGTGTGTATCTTGAAACAAACGCAGCCTTTTTATCAGTTGTCCAAATTAATACTTCTTTAGACAATATGGTTTTTAATGAGTAGCTCTTTTGAAACCAGAGAAGTTTCTATTTCTAACTGCTTTGGTTTAGGCACAGCCTCTTTTTGACGTCTGAAATCAAAAGAGCTTGTGCTGACGTGTTTGGCCACCGACTTGGCCCCACCACCACCCACCCCAGGACCTCCTGGCCTGACTTGCTCACCTGCACGCAGGGTGTTAGGAGGTGGAATCATGGCGGGAGTAGTTTTGACTTAGGACTACAGACCACCTCCACTGGCATTTAAGAAGTGTGCCGTACTGGAGAGAAATAATGGCAATGTGGCTGCTTGGGTGCCCTGTGCTGGGTGCCGGCCCAGACTTTGCTTAGCGATCCCCTCTGGGTGGGGACCTGCTGCTGCAGACTCAGTCTCTGCCTTTGATGATGCCTGACTCTCCCCCATCATGGCAGTGGAGGGTGAGTGGGTCGTGGCGACAGTGGAGATACCTGTGCTGTCTAAGGAGGGACGAGAAGCTGCTCACAAGTCTCGTGCCCGTCCCAACGCTCCGCGTGGCCTCCTCACAGGTCTTGTTCCGAGCGAGTGGCGGCAAGCCCATCGCCGTGCTCTGCCTGACGGTGGAGCTGCAGCCCCACGTGGTGGACCAGGTCTTCCGCTTCTACCACCCGGAGCTCTCCTTTCTGAAGAAGGCCATCCGCCTGCCGCCCTGGCACACGCTTCCAGGCAGGTCCTGCACTGACCCTGCGGCCCACATGTTGCAGGCTCACCTGTTGGAAGTAGGCACCTCCTGAGGGTGACAGATCAGATGGCCTCATGGCTTCATGCCCTGGTGCTCTTAGAGCAGCACGTGGGGCCTGGGGAATTCTCTCTCCTGCCTTTATGGTTGGAGACGGTGCCCCTCTTGCCACCTCTGAGATGACTAGGTGCGCATTTGCTGGGTGAGTCCGCCCTTCTAAAAAATGCCAGCTCCGCGGCCCAGGTCCAGGTGTGCCTGGAGGAACACCTCCTCCTCGGCTGATGGCCCGCGTGTTTCCGGTTGGCGCCCCTTACAGCAGAGTGCAGGCTTCCCTGCTCCAGGGAGCTGCGCTTTCCTGTTTGTGGCCCCTCGATTATTCCCTGCGGAGGTGGCTGCAGCCAAGCGGCAGTGGGCTGGACGGGGGTGTCTGCGCAGGGAACACGGTGCTCGGATGCTGTCCTGGGAAAGGTGGCGGCGTCCGGTTCCCCAGCAGGTGTCTTGCTGAGCACCTGTGATGAGCCTGTCCCGTCCTATAGTGTGTAACACGTGGGGCCGTCTCCACGCAGGCCGGAAATGTGGAGAGGACTCTTTGTGACATTTCCCCTGCTCCAGGTGCTCCGGTGGGAATGCTTGGTGAGGACCCCCCGGTCCACGTTCGCTGCAGCGACCCGAATGTCATCTGTGAGACCCAGAATGTGGTAGGTTGTGTTGTGGCCCCGGCCCAGGCAGATCCTTCCCAGCGAGTCTGCGCCCCCATCGTCTTCCCCGCGGGGTCTCCTGGGAGCCTCTTCGTTTTAGGTTTTCCGCTAAGTGGTTTCTTTTCCAAGGTACTAAAGGGCTATTTTGACATCTTTATGAGAGCTTTATGAGCGTGTTTTTATTTTTTCTACTAGCAGATCAGCTCCTTGATCATCTGAATTTAAATTTTAAAAAGGCATGAAACAAAGTGAATAAAGTGAATGGTAATTAAGGCACTTATTAATTACCATTGTGTAAAGGATAAGGCAATAATTGTGTTATGACCAGTTAGGAAACTGGATAAAGTCTCCTGTAGAATCTAATTATTGAGATCCTTGTAAAATCAGGAAGCTAATGATTTTGTCTTTGACAGTGAACAGAATGGTAAATTCTGACTGGTATGGAACATGAACAGATTCGTTCTGGGAGGGGCTGGCCCTCACTCTCTGCATGCACTAGTCACACAGATTTAGGGGCAGGCTGGGGTCGGCAGAGCTGGGCAGTGGGCTGTGTGCCCTGATTTGCTGCACATCTGGTTGGCAGGGCCCCGGGGAGCCGCGGGACGTGTTTCTGAAGGTAGCCAGTGGTCCGAGCCCGGAGATCAAAGACTTCTTTGTCATCATTTACTCGTAAGTGCACAGGCTTCGGGGACCCGGGGGCAGTGGCAGAGGAGAGGAGGAGGCAGGCCTGGGGCTACTGGTGGATTGAAAGTGGGCTTGGCCCCTTCCTAAACCTAGGGGAGCTGTTGGGCCTTCACTTTGTGAGGCGGGATTCTGCTGCGAGTTCCAGGGCCAGCAGGGGCCTGGGGAAGGCATCCTGGAGGGGCACCTGCAGCCTGAGTGACTTGGGACGCAGCCTGTGTCCATCAAGGAAGGACACGAGTCAGCCTCTGTCTCCAGATAGTGCCAAGGGCGACCCAGAGGCCCCTGTTACCTTCTTCTTGCTGAGTCGCTAGGCTGAACAGCATGAATGAAGCTGTGGTCCCTCCTGCGGAGAGGGAGGACTGTGGTGGAATTGCCCGTCCCTCTCTCCTCCAGGCTAAATGACCCGGTCCCTTTCCCTCCCCTCCTAAGTCGGATCCCCAAGTCCTGTGAGAATCCTTTCAAACTGCCGTGAGCTGGGAGATTTCCTGCAGTGCTTCTCAGGACAGTTCAGGGGCTTACCTGCACTGAGTGCCCACCAGAGGGTGAGGGGCCACGTGACCACGTCTCAAGAGTGGCTTCCTCGTGAGCCCATGAAGATGCCTCACCCAGCCCCATTTTACTATGAAGCAGCAGGTTCTTGGCCCTGAAATGCTAACAGGGGCTTCCTTGCTCAGGCCGGCATGACCTCCAGCCCCGACCCTGTCTCCTGAGTGGTGCTGCCCTTGGCTTTGCCTCAGAACCCTGTTGGGGGTGGACACTTGTCCAGGATGTGTGTTTGGCTAAAGCGTGCCTTGTCATTTGTTTGACATGTGGTTCCTAAGCACCCTCGTGCCAGGTGGCATCCTGGGTGTAGACAAGTGGGGCCATCAGTCAGCCCTGCTGTGCCCTGAGAGCCTCTGCTGTGGGTGGGAGGGGGGCAGCTGGGGCAGAGCCACTAGGCCCCAGCTCTGCCTCCTGGGGCCTGGTCCTCTGGGGCTTTCCCTGCATGGCCTTCTGTCTGCCCACACTCCTGGCAGCCCTTGTTGGCCTCTCACGGGCTGGTGCTGAGTCTTCCGGGACAAGTGCAGATGGCTCCCGTCCCACTGCAGGGATCGCTGGCTGGCGACACCCACACAGACGTGGCAGGTCTACCTCCACTCCCTGCAGCGCGTGGATGTCTCCTGCGTCGCAGGCCAGCTGACCCGCCTGTCCCTTGTCCTTCGGGGGACGCAGACAGTGAGGAAAGTGAGAGCTTTCACTTCGCACCCCCAGGAGCTGAAGGTACGGCCTCTCTGGGGGCTGTTCTGAGCCTCTCCCCAACCCCATCCTGGAGACGGGCAGTGGGGATTCAGCTGGAGCACAGTGGGTGGCCCTGACGGCAGCTTTTCCAGCACCTCCAGCACTCAGACTGTTACCAGAGGCTTCCTGGCAGTCACCTTTCTTTAGATATGCCATTGTGGGGTGAGTGACGTACACACCAACCCCAAAGGCCAGTGTTCAGAATTCCTGCTAGGTAAATGGTGACAGGAGCCCTGGCGTTAGTGAAGCCACAGTTAGATGGGGTGGGAGGGCAGCCCCTGGTGCCACCAGCTGGCCAGGGTTTTAAGCCCCAGAATGGCTTCAGTTCTCTCTTTGTGGAGGCAGCACTTAGCAGATAGTCACCATGTGGGAGGAGGGACTTGCCAGGTGCAGACCCGGGCCGCGGCCACAGTGATGTCAGGGTTGGTTATGGCCTCAGATTTGACTGCCCCTGAACAACCCATGACCTTGGGCTCCCCTGGCTGATTGGCTGGGAGCCCCTTGCTTGCACACCGTGAGAGGCTCTGCCCTGACCCGCCTCTCTTGCTCTTGAAGACAGACCCCAAAGGTGTCTTCATGTTGCCGCCTCATGGGGTGCAGGACCTGCATGTTGGTGTGAGGCCCCTCAGGGCTGGCAGCCGCTTCATCCACCTCAACCTAGTGGACGTGGATTCCCACCAGCTGGTGGCCTCCTGGCTCGTGTGCCTCTCCTGCCGCCAGCCGCTCATCTCCAAGGTCTGTATGTGTGGCAGGCACAGGCTGAGGGGATGGGGGCTCAATACCAGGGCACTGCAGGACCCCCACCTTGGCCCTGTGGCTCGGGCCACCTGGATACAGGGTTCTGACCCAGCAGGGCTGGGTGTGCGAGTGTTTGCTCCTGTGCTGTCTGTCTCCCCGATGGAAGCTCCAGAGAGCATCTATCTTATCTCTGTGGGGGTCTCCAGTGTCTGGGGCCGTGCACGGTGCACAGTAGACTCAGGGAATACTTGGAGGAAGGGCCAGTGGCTGTACCCGCGAGTGCCCACAGTGTCTCCCTGTCCCCTCCCTCCACAGGCCTTTGAGATCACGTTGGCTGTGGGCGAAGGGAAGGGTGTCAACAAGAGGATCACCTACACCAACCCCTACCCCTCCCGGAGGACGTTCCACCTGCACAGCGACCACCCGGAGCTGCTGCGGTTCAGGGAGGACTCCTTCCAGGTGTGGTGGGGCTGTGCGTGGGACTCCCGGGGGGAGCCCTGGGGACCTGAATGGAGGCAGTTAGGCTGCATTTAGGAGTGAGTTCCTCGAGTCACCAGCAGGCTTCCAAAAACCCCAGGGCGGTGACCGGTGCCATCCCATACTTGGGTGGGCCCGTTGTCTCTTTAGTAGCTGGAGATTTAGCTAAGTTTCTCCGGAGCGTGGGAAAGGGTGATGTGCCCAGGGCTTTTCATGGTAACATTAGACAGCTCAGTCTCGAACATGAGTGTGGCTCCGAGTCTGAGTAACGCGTCACCCTGGCCGAGCACCGGTTCCCGTCCTTGTCCCGGGCACTGAAGTCAAAGGCAGACCTTGGATGCACCCCGCAGGGCTCCCCCGCCTTGTCAGCTCCCCTTGGAAATACACACGACCATGCAGAGAGGTTGCTGGTGAGAGTGTGGGACGGCCCGGGGGTGGACGCTGGGATTTGGATGCTTGTTTCCAGGTTGCGGGTGGAGAGACCCACACCATCGGCCTGCAGTTTGCGCCTAGTCAGAGAGTGGGGGAGGAGGAGATCCTGATCTACATCAATGACCATGAGGACAAGAACGAAGAGGCATTTTGCGTGAAGGTCATCTACCAGTGAGGGCTTGAGGGTGACATCCTTCCTGGGGCACCTGGCTGGGGCCTGTCTGCCCCTCCTGCCCTGCAGGCCGTCCTCCCCGCCTCTCCGCAGCCTTTGACCTCAGGGCCCACCACTTGGCTGAGGAAGCAGAGAGCACGCGCTGGTCATTTTGTAGTACCTGCGTCCGGCTTAGCTGCTGCTGACACCCAGCAGGCCTGGGTTCCGTGAGCGTGAACTCCGTGGCGTGGCTCTGGTTCTGGTGCTGCCGTCTGCACACGTGGGACCCTCATTATCTCTGTTGCTCAAAATGTATTTTATGAGTCATCCTAAATGATAAAATTATGTTTTTCTTACTGGATTTTGTACAAACAATCTATTATTTGCTATGCAATATTTTATGCTGGTATTATATCTATTTTTTAAATTGTTGAACAAAATACTAAACTTTTACATGTCATCCCTTGGCAGTTTTCTTGAGTGTTGTCTGCTGGCGCAGTGTCAGAGGCTTCCTGTCTACAACACAAGCCCAGTTTCTCCTTGAGGAGACATGCTGGGGGCCAGTCAGGCAGCCCACGCCCTCTGTCCTCATGGAGAGGCTGCTCAAGCCTGCCCCGGGTGGGGGCCGAGACCCCGGCTCTGAGACGGCAGCAGTTGGGTGGAAGTGCAAGGGGCGGAGGAGTGGAGGGTGGGCCACACCGAGCGGTGGGCTGCGGGCTGCGGGCTGCGGGCTGCAGGTCAGTGCGAGGAGGGCCTGGGCCGGGCGCCCCCTCCTGCTACAGAAGCCGCCCCAGCGCTCTGATTGCGGGACCCCACATGCCTCAGGAAGGGATATGCTTAGAGCCATTGGTCCCACGGCCACATCCGTGGCAGACAGTAGGGTGGGAGTGAAGGGTGACCTCCTTGGGGACAGTCGATGCCGTGGGTGACCACGGCAGGAGACTTCTCAAGATCATGGTTAAGGAAATGGGTCCTTCTGTGTTCCTAAAAGGTCTCCACACCCCACAGATGTGGGCACGCATGGGATAACGGTGGCCCCTCCCTAAAGGTAGCAACCCCTTGTTGTCTGCCGTTTTCGGCGCGGGCCACATCACTCACCTCCTGCGTCTGCCGCGAAGCTGCAGGAGGAGGTTGGGATTTTGAGTCTGTCGGGGAGGGCGCCGCCGCCTCTGCTTTCCCAGCTGCCTTCATCTCCTCCACCGTGGCCAAGCTGAGGATGCCTCCTGGACTTCGCCTCAGCTCCCGCGCCTGAGGGGCTGGTGAACCCTAGACGGGAACATCCTGCTGGACAGGCAGAGCTCTGAGAAGGCGCTCACGCAGCCCCGGGTGCCTCCTAATGGTGCAGGGGTTCTGCAGGCCTCATCAGAGGCCTCGGGGAGGTGCGTGGGGCACTTTCACCTCCGTCCCCTCCATTTCTAGGTGGCCCGAGAACTGGCTGCCTCCCCCACCCCTGCAGAGAGACGCTGCCTGCTCTGAGGGGCCTGCTCTTCGTCACGTGGGTTTTCCCCCAGGAAGACCAGAGAGCAGCTGCTTTTCCTGGAGAGGCGGATCCCCCAAGTCCATTCGGTCCTTGCACAGCGGAGGGACCTGCGGTGCTCCCTGCCCGTGTCTGGTCTGTAAAGCAAGGACTCAGAAAGGCCTTTCAGCTGCTACGATGCCCCACAAGGCAACAGCAAAGAGCTGACCAAGCCTCCAGGGCTCCCACCTGTTCGAGGTGCTTCGGTAACACGGCCCCCACCCCAGCCTGCCGGGCTCTCGCATCTGCGTTGTCACCCCCACAGCACAGGAGGAAACCACAGCGCCAGATGCAGGAGGTGCCCCCAGCCTCAAGGAGCAGGCAGGCAGCGTGTGCCCCCCTGAGCAGGACCAGGCTGGCCTGTGGGTTGGAGGACGCAGGGACATCCATCGAGCCCATGACGAGAAAGCGGCCTGGCCTTTGGCGAGAGAGATGCCGTCAGACAGCGAGGCTCCATTTGCCACATGCTCCTCACACCCTTATTCAACCCGAGTGTGGACAGAGCACTCCCCTGGTCGGGGGAGACGGATGCTGCCCAGGACCTGGCTTTCTCGGGGGCCCGGATGATCACACGGGGACCTGTTGCAGTCTGCCGGGCGGCACTGAGGGTCTGAGGGGAACAGGGTGAGGGTATGAAGAGGGGCTTTAGTTCAAAGGAGGTCGGGCCTCTCCACATAGGAGGCAGCGGAGAGAGGACGGAGTGGCAGGGGCCCTGCAAAGGGGCAGCAGGGCAGGAGAGGCTGGAGAGGGGCCTGCAGGGCTGTGCCAGGGCAGGGGGTCATGTGGGCCAAGGGAGGAGCTGGTGGACTGGAGTGGACAGGTGCTGTGTCCCATGAGTCCCCCGGCCCTGATCCCAGCCCTCCGTCAGCATGGAGCCCTGTCCTTGTGGGGGGTGGCAATGCCGTGGCTGCCTCGCCTCCATCCCGCAGCCCCCACTCTCAGTGCTCGTGACGCGTGTGCCTCTTGCTGGCTCCCTGAGGCTGGGTTGAGGCCTGGGAAACCTCCACAGCTGTCCACCCCAGAGGGCTCCTTCCGCCCAGGGTGGGGTGGCCTGAGGGCTTGGGCCAGCCCATCAGGACCCCGTGCCTTCCGCTGCTGGCCTGCAGCCGGTTGTGATTCTGGGTGTCCCCTGGCCTTCCACTAGGAGAGGTATCTCGGGGAGGGTCTCTTCTGCCGGGCACAAACCCCAGGTCGAGCCTGCTGCATGCTCTGGATTGCAAAACACCGGCCTTGTCCCTTCCTTTATGAGCCCACAATGTCCTGTGCTAGAACCCGAGGTGTGGGTGGCGTGTTTACTCACTCCCGACTCCCCTCTTGCCAGTCGTAGGTCCGTCTCAGCAGAGCCGGGGTGCCTGCGAGGAAGCTGGGCCCTGCGGCACTTGCCCACGGGGACAGGGGTGCCTGGGACCCCCCCGACGAGGGCGCCACTCTGAGCTGCTACTCTCTCCGTGCAAAGCCGCGTGCCTTTCAAAGGGCCTGTTATCATTCCCATCACGGGCATTTCTCAGCTGTGATTTCATTTCTCCCGCCTGCTCCTCCCTCCTCCTGCCCCTGTTGAAAGCTACTTTTCACTAAATGGAGTCAAATGCAAGCCAGACGAGCTGCTTTGCATTTCTCATGTCTGATAATGATTTAATGCTATGTTTATCTATTTAGAAATAAGGCGCTTTTTAAAATTCTTGCCTCAGGTTCTAAGAGGGTGGGGAAACAGCCATTATTGCTTCCCTGATGGCCGCTTTTCCCCTGTGGACGGAGGCGCTGCAGCTCTCACCCCAGCAACCTCCGGTAGCACTGAGGCCTTGACAGAGAAAGAGACAGAGGGCTCAGGAGCAGCCGGTGACCTGCCCACGGGAGGTACTCAGGTGGGTCTCTGTCTCGCACAGCCCGAGCACAGTGGGGTCTCCCTGGCCCTGTGCAGGACACCGCCCTACAGACGGGAAATGAAGAATGTAGACCCTTCCTGCCTGGAGGGTGCTCGCGCTCCACCTGCCGCACTCTGCTGGTGATGACGGGCCCCACTGGCTCTTCTGACCCAAGCCAAAGCCACGCCTGAGTGGGTCCACAGGAGGCTGTGCAGGGCCCGGGAGCTTCTCTGCAGGTCGGGCAGATCCACCTCGTGCCAGGCCCCTGGGTTTCAACGCTGCCCCTCACCTCTCCTAGGGGGGCCTGGGAAGACCCCTGCCGGATGGAGAATGGATGACTGAGGAACAGTCACCCCAACTTTAGGGGTTGAATACCGTCCCTGAAGAACTCAGTACTCTCAGCACCTCAGAATCTGGCTGTTTGGGAAGAAGGTCGGTCTTTGCGGATGTAATGAAACGAGGGCGTGAGATGAAGTCGTGTTGATTGGGGTGACCCTAAGCCCAGGGAGAGTGTCCTTGTGAGACAGAAAGGGACACGTAGGGATGGTTCCGTGGCGACAGAGGCAGAGGCTGGAGAGAGCCACAAGCCAGGGATTGCCAGAGCCACCGAAGCTGGAGACCCTGGGACAGATTCTCCCTCCGAGCCTCCAGAGGGAACCCGCCCTGCCCTTGATCTCAGCCGTCTGGCTCCCAGGCTGTGGGATAATAACTTCCTGTTGCTTTGAGTCACCAAGTTTGCAGCAGTTGTTTACGGCAGCCTCAGGACGTGAACATAGGAGTTGTGGGAACTCCCTGGAGGTCTTAAATAGTCCCGTAACTAGCAAATCAGTGTCCCTAGTCCTGGGGAGAGAAGGGCTGGTGTAAGTCTAAGGAGTGACCCCATCAACAGAGTGACCTTCTGTGCATGTAGAGAAGCCCTTGGGTGGCTGTCCTCAGCCACGAAGGAGCGCGTCATCCTGGCTGGTCAGCCATCCTGAATTGAATAGGGATTCCAGGTTTTCAAACTTTATCACAAGAATTCAACCTTGAAATAGCCACACACCAATGTGGGTTTCTCCTGGAGGCAGAACCTCTAGGTGGGGGCTGTACCCACATTTAAGGGAAAGAAGTCAACAGCCCCTGCGTGTGTGACTCACGTGGACCCAGGTTCTGGAGAGCTTGAGGGAAGGAGTGTGGTCTCCAAGGCCATGTGGGGCCCTGGTACTGGGGTCAGTGCTGTCCACGCTACCTTCCTGAGCCACTCTGGGCTTCGCTTGCCCTCACGCCACCCTCTGGTCCAGCGCTCACGGCAGCTGCTGTGACTGTCAGGAAACACAGACCTGATCCTGTCGCCTCCTTTGCGTAGACCTTTCAGAGGGTAGGATGCAGGCAAGGTTCCTCTCTGGGGCCTGCAGGCCCGTCCTCCCCTGGCTCCTTCCCACCCTTTCTCACCATTCATGCCAGGCTCAGGGCGCAGGACTGGGATGCTTCCTGCTTCTGAAGCCTCTCTGTGCCTTGGTCTCCTCCATGAAGGTGCATTGAGCTGACCAGGTAAGAGCTGGGTGCAGCAGGTCCCATGTGGTGCGCTGCAGGACTGTCCCCGATCATCTGCTGCTCCTCCTGCTCGATGCGATCTGACTGGCAGTGTCACCATGGGACTGGTGTCTTCCACCCACGGCTTGCTGGCATGGCTGGCTGTGTCAGGAGCTGAGTGACGTGGGGCCCTGTGCACACAGGCCCTGAGGAAGCACCAGACTCCCCTGTGCTGTCCTCTGTGGGGAAAAGGGGTGATATGGTCTGGCTGTGTCCCCACCCAAATCTCATCTTGAATTGTCACTCCCACAATTCCCACCTGTCGTGGGAGGAACCTGGTGGGAGGTGATTGAATTATGGGGGTGAGTCTGTCCTGCACTGTTCTCATGATAGGGAATGAGACTCACGAAATCTCATGGTTTAAAAATGGGAGTTTCCCTGCACAAGCTCGCTCTCTCTTTGCCTGCTGCCATCCATGTAAGACGTGACTTGCTCCTCTTTGCCTTCCATCATAATTGTGAGGCCTCCCCAGCCATGTGGAACCGTAAATCCATTAAATCTCTTCCTTTT